TAAAAGTTTGATCGAAAACCATCTTGGGCTCATCAATACGGAAAATGTTGTTCTTCATGACAACACTAAATGCACATTGATATGTCCAGTAGCTGAAAAGTGGCTTGTACTCATCAATAGCAAAATGTTGTCCTCGTCTATGACAACACAAGATCACATACAGTAAGACTGTAAGAATAACAGGAAAAACTTTGGAACTTGGCTGGTCTGTTCTGTCCTACCTGACATAGTCATCAGACTTTGCACCAACAAATTATTACCTTTGTCAATTTGGGGAAAACTTTCTATAATGAAAAACAGATTAAAGAGTTTGTTGAAAACTTCTTCACATTAAAACCAGCAGAATTATACTCAAAAGGTATTGAAAAGCTGTCTGAAATATTATAGCAAATAATGACGAATGTATAATTGAATAGAATATAACTGTATATTATTTTTTGAAGAATAAAGTTGATAAGCCAAAAAGTAAATTATTGATGACTCAACCTAATATATAGTCTATTTCAGTGATATCTACTGGTAAAGACATTGTGGCATAATGGTTAAGGCATTGTCATGGTAAGACATGCTTCCCTGAAGAAGGAGTGAAAATACAAATCTTGTGAGAGCTTATTGATTTCTGAACAAACATGCTTACTTTATGTTCAGAGAATACCAATTGTAAAATGATGAGACTTTGCTGCTAATCTAGTTTTGTGCTTAACTTCATAAAGTCTAGGTACACAAACACAAATATATTAGGCCTGTTCTGTCAGAAACACTTGCATTAATATCTGATCACAGACAACCACTTTTTCTTGATTTCCAATGCATTTCCATGGTAAAATTACTGGCAATGCTTTCCTTTAGTAAGCCAATTAGTAATGCATTTACATTAAACATAATAACAGCCATATTCTGTCAGTCATTCCTGACCAATGCTAGGTTCTACCTGATTTTAATATAAAAGTAAAATCGATAATAATGCATTTACATTATATATAATAATAGTATTATTTTGTCAATAACACTTGTATTACTATCTGATCACTGACAATCACTTTTTCCTTGTTTCAAACGAGGAATATGTGTGTTGTTTGAGTTTTTATGACTGAGACTGTTATGAATCCATATGAGTTGATACAGGTGATACTTATGTATTTTGACTTTAAAATGAATGATTGTAAATATATAATAAGTGATTGCCAGTGACCAGACGTTAATACTAGCATGGCTGACAGGGCATGGCTTTGTAAATAAATGCATTCTTAATGGTTTTACACTTTTATTAGATTTGTGGTGAGAGAGAAAAAAATAATAACAAGAACAAAATTTCCACAATCTCTAAAAATAAATGAATAATAGGCAAATAAAGCCATAGTTCAATCAACCAATCAGAAAGCTTTCACAACCAGAACATAAGGCCATGAGCCAATGAGAAGCAGATTTATAGATATGTATATAAACAGATGTAGAATCAACCAAAATCAGAGTGAATAAATTTTGTCTATTTTCTGATGTTGTGGGCATTCTAACATTCTCAGAGATGAAATACAGCATTTACACAAATAGCTGGTGACATTAAACATCTAGCCTGTCCTTGCAACATTGAAAACAAACAAACATTCCTTCACCACATGGTCAAGTGGTGGCTACTATATTTGGATACATACATATGTATGTATATAGTCATTAATTTTCTCCTGGATTCTTCTTTCTTTCTTTCATTCACTCCCATATATCTACAAAACTTTTACCATAGATTATTATTAATTAAAATTTCTTTTTTTCATGTGTTGATGTCCATAATTCAGTAATTTTAATTCATACGGTATTTCTAATAAATTGAACTCATATTTGTTCTTACATCTCTGGGATAATAGGAGGATGTTTTTATTTTTGTTTGTATATTTTAATTTTTTAAAATTATATTTAAGATTTTGAATTAGATTATAAAAGTTCAGATACATAATGAAAATAAAAAATAAATAGTAATAAATGGAAAAAATAAATGGTAAAAAATTAAAAAAAATAATAACCTTGAAAAATAATGTGAAGAGAAATAATAAATGACACTGTAAATGAGTCTGATTATAATTTTGATAAAAAATGCTCCTTTTATTAAAAGAGAATGCAATTTACTAAGATGAAAATGTATAGGAAATGCTTTAATCGCTAAATCATGCACAGTAAATTTGCATCCTGGTTCTTACATTTCACTTTTCTTGGCAGACTTATTGTCACAATGTGGGATACTTAATAAAAAAAGTGATAAGAATATACAAAAATAAACTAAATAAAATTGGTTAGACTATATACCCAAAACACATTTAAAAAAAAAAGATTAAATTAAAAATTTCAGCATCCACTCTAGTTCATGTGCATGTATAGTCATATGAATATAAAGATCTCTTTTTAGTCTGATGAAATAGTAATTTATAAAACTTGTCACATGAAAAAATTTTTTCATGAAGTTACAGATTTTCTGAAAATAATAAATCTAAAAAAAGTTACGAAAAAAATGACTAAATCAAATGTAAAATGAATGCAAAAAACTAAAAAAAGCAATGTTCATTTTACATTTACTTTCATCATGAAAGAAAAATGTTTAATTTTTTATTTTAAATTTTCATGATGGATTTTTCTTATTTTTATCATTGCTGTCTAAAATTATAAAATATTCCATTAAAAAGATTAAAAAACCTTCTAAAACCACAATGAAATTATTCTTTAAAAATATTTTTAAATAATTTCCAATAAAATCATATAGCATTTTTCTATCATAGATGAGCTTCTTGGTTTAATTAACCCCTAATGAATAATTATGATTCAAATTTATATTTGTAATTTAACATTGATAAAAAGGTTAATTTTGTAAAATAAATAAGGAAAAATATAACAAAGATGTTAAAGTTAGAAATTTATATGTAAATATGACAAATACTGTAAAAAAAATCCTCTTTCTCGACCTGTAGTCAGGATAATTATCTAGACTTTTATAGTCTAAATTTAAAAAACACAATTCCTATTAAAATACACAAACAATAAAAAAATCACCCTATTTTTTTGAAGATAAACTAATTATTAAAAATACTGTTTAAATAAAATTACTGCATTACAGATATCAACACAAAGATATAATTTATTCTATTTGCTTGCAGGCAAAAGAAAGAAGAAATATTAATAATAATAATGATGATGAGGAGGTTCAATGAACTATTTTAAATAAAATTCTATTATGTTCGGGGAAAAAGAATCACTTAGAGTTATTCCCCTTTAATCACTTACAACTGTCATCTCGTAAATGACGCCATTGTTGATGTAATAGCAAAATGGAAAAATAAATGAATAAATAAAAGTAAAAACTTTCTTTTTTTTTTAAATTCTTAAAGTGGAGGAATATAATTCTTTTACTATGAATTTAGACTGGAACTTATAGAGATTGATTTGATCACAGCATAAATTATTGGTTAAATACATGTATAGTAATTGTAATGTAATGGTTAGCCATTTCTTTATTCAACATTCATTGGCTAAGCAATCAATATGACTGTTGGTTGAGATTTATAAAACGTTTCTATTAAAACAATTTTTCAGGAAAATAGGTTTCTCAAGTCCACTAACAGTTATTGTTCTTTCGAGTAATAATGTGTGGCTTCCTTCCTAATCTTTTCTTTCAATTAGTGTGGAAAGCCAACATATTGATTGTATGATTATTTTCTCTTCAAATTACATGTGCTATACATTTTAGTTCTTTCTGCTGTTGGAAGTCTTCAAGTAATGTGGTTTTGGTTATTTGGTATAACCTTACACTTATCGATAAAATTGTAAGTATTTCTATTGATGTAGGTTTTATTGGTACAGAATTGGATTAATTGAGCTATATACCAGTGCTGGATAGATGCTCAGTGAAGTAATGAGTAGTGGCTTGGATTGAAAAATCGGAGAGCTGAGTTCAAATACCAGTCAAGTTTGTTACATTCTCTTGGGAAAAGTATGAATCCATCTTTTCTCCTCCAGCAATAGGTAAATAGCAGTAAAGACTGGATCCTATAGCCTTGGGTGAAAACTCATCTGGGAGAATGATAACTCTGAATTGAAAACCTCCAACTATAAATAAATAGTAGAGTAGACGTTGCTCTTCAGCCTTGGTTGGCACGCAGTATAGGAGAAGGAGAACTCTGAATTCAAAACAGTCATCCTGGTGAAGCACATACTATGCAACTAATGAAATGACTGTGGAGTTGACAATGACTCTGTGATTCCAACTGTGGTAGACCTTGATTAATTGACTGAACAATACTGAATAACTTACAACAGTCATAAATGTTTTGTTTCTTTATATTTGTGTTTTTACAGGTTTGGTTAGTCCTGGGTATGACGATAAACTACATCTGGCAGCCATCCCTCTGATTGGGAGAGTGGAGGTTTTGAGGAGCATGCAACCACCTCTTAATTGCTGTTATTCTCAGGTCCTCCCTCACCCGGGGTGGTAGCATTAGTTAAGGTCCCTGCTATGGGCAAATAGTGAACCCCTCGCCCAAACAAAAATAAAAAGCTATGAAAGTATAAAAATACATTTTAATAGTAAAAATATCAGCAATAGATTTTTATATAAAAAAATTACCCACAACATGTATTTATAGTAAAATTACCAACAATACATTTTATAGCAAAATGACCAGCAATATATTTTATCTGGAGTTGAAGGTATACAATTGCATTCAAAATATATGCAAGCCATAGAATTGTATTCAAAATATTTAGATTTCAGCATTAAATAACCCATAGACATTGATATTCCACTAAAAATCAACTGACCAACAGATTTGGTGAACAAATTTTTCAGATTCAGTGTTGAAGCATTGTTTTAGGACAAAGCAAAAAAATTTTCAGAAACTGAGGCAAATCAAAAGAATAACATTAGAGACAAAGAAAAAAGTGTTGCAATGATGTGTAATGTTTACATTTCATTATGGCAATGAATATTGGACAATTTCATCACATTTGACTTGAGGCTTAGGACCATATCATGTTGAAACCCTGATTCCTGTACGATCACTGAAGATAAGCAATGTCATGCTTGGTCAGTACTAAGATGGGTGACCACTTGAGAATACCTGGTGCTATAAGCTTGGATGTGTGATGTAATGGATAATGGCTCAGAATTGTTAATCAGAGAACCAAGTTCCAATTCCTGTTGGGTTCATTATATTCACTGATGTGCAAATATCCTTGAGAAAGTATCTGTCTATATTTCTGAAATGAGGTATTATGTACACTATTTACATTATTCGGACTATTGTCCTCATCTTTGTTGCCATATTTATTACAACGTTTTGGCTGTTGTATGCTCCAGCCTTCTTCAGGTGGTTGGAATGTCGAACTGAACCCTTTATTTCACTCACTGGGGTAGACTGTTCTAATTCCATGTGCCATGTTTTAATGGATGTCAGTTATCAGTTATCTCCTGTTAATTCCCCTCTCCAAGTTCTCCACTGCCTTAACTGGGTATTGAACTCACATTCTTTGGGTCCTGTCACTGGATCTAACCAATGCTTTTATCCACTGTGCCATGTGTCCTTGAGTTTAGTAAGCGAAATCAGGGTTCAATTTGACATTCCAACTACCTGAAGAAGGCCAGGGCGTACAATGGCTGATACGTTGTAATAAATATGGCAACAAAGATAAGGACAATAGTCCGAATAATATAAATAGTATCCTTGAGAAAAGTATGAATCCACCTTTTCTCTCCCCAGCTATAGGTTAATTAGTAAGACTTGTACCACTAAACCACTATTATCACAAAAAACAAATAACATTCTTACAATCTAAAAATATTTTTTTGCCTTTAAATAAATTGCAATGGGTTGATAAACTATAGGAAACAAATCAACCAAACCAGTAAAACGATTGACTTGAGGCAACCAAGATGCAATTCAACTGATGAATTTTGAAAATAGAATGAACAGATCCTGTGACAAATGAGGAAGAAGGAGAACAGAAATTACAAGAAAACATCTAAAATATTTGAAATTCATAATGAGGACTGATTGATTTTTCATACATTATCAAGACTTTGTAGATTTTTTAAAGCCAAAACATATTTTTGGATTGTAAGAAAATTTTTGGTTTTGTTTTTCAAATTAACATTGCATTAACATTTTTTTCTGAGAATAACAAGGATTTTTTCCAGATACAAGTTCTACTATTTAAGGTGGGAAAAGGAGATGGATCTATATGTTTCCTGAGGGTATTTGTGTGTCTGTGAATAAAAGCGAACATAACTGGAATTTGCTACAAGTTCTCATTCCAAGTTGCTATCCATTACACTACCCACATATCAATATAATGAGAAAAGAAAGCTCAGAAAATTTAATATTCACAGGGCATACAGAAGGTGAAAGAAGCAGAGGAAAGCAGCAAGCAAGTTACTGGATAAGTCTGAATAAAAAAATGAAATTCGGTAACAGATGTCTCCAATCTCTGGTTAGTTATTACATTTGACTTAAATTAAACCAGTGCAAGTGGAATACTATTTTGTCTTGTGACCGCATACTCATGATGTTAAACCAAGATACAGATATTTTGATTCCAAAGTAATTTTATTTTTATGGTAGAAAAACTAATTTAAGTAAGTAAAAACTTTAACTGAAAGAAGAATTTGCACTATCATTGGTCCTGATCTGGCATCTTGGCTTCAGTCATTTTCTCACTGCTGTACTTTATCTTCCTTGTGCCTTTTTATAAATATTTTCATGGTAACTGTTCTGATGAACTTTTCTCTTTGGTACATTGACTTTATGAATTTAAATGCAATACTAGATTGGCAGATAGGTCTCATCATTTTACTGTTGAAATTGTTAAGTGTAAGCCTAAATTCTATGCTAATGGTGGTTTCTTTTCTCACACTTCTCACTTGTGGAACTTACTTGTGACTTCTTGCATTCCCATCAACTTTGATCTTCAAAAAGTTAAATGCAATGTCAATTGTCATTTTCTGGCTTCTTGAATCCTGGTCTTTTAATGTCCTCTCTCTACTCAATATTTTCTTAGTTTCTTTCACTCTCAGTAACCCTGTGCATCATAGTGGCTTTATCACTTTGAGATGAAATGATAGAAATAGAAAGAAATAATGACAATAATCTGTAGCTCAGGAATACCCAGTTAGTATGCAGCAATATGTACCATTTTTTGCAGGCAAGATTAACCCTTCAGTCTTGGTAAATAGTCATTCTAGGCCTAGATTTCAGAACACTGTCCCCAACTCCCAATAGCAGTAAGGCAAATGGATTGAGGAACAAGTAGTGTATAGACAAAAAAGGTGTAATGAACAAGAAAGAGATGCTAAGAGCTACGATCACCCACAGTGGCACAGGTAGAGAAAGTGGAATTAAGAAAGAGAGAGAAGGAGAAAGAAAATGAGATGAAGAAAGAAAGAGAGAGAGAAGAATGAAGGGAGAAAAAGCAAGAAGAAGGGAGAGAGAGGAAGGGAGAGAAACACAAGTGAATTTTATGGCTATTATCATTTAACAGTGTGCTGAGCAATGATACAGTGAAATGTTATTTTTCTTAATGTCAAAAGGTGAAACAATCAAACATTAGTTTGAGTCAGGTGAGGCATATTACTGCTTATATGCATAAGTAAACAGATTGCAATCCAGCAACTAAATGTGAGGATGCAATGGCAGAGTGTTAGTGAGGAGATTGTGAGGACGAATCTGATCCTGGTCACTGCAGCTGTAATAAGTGCAATACAGCAAGGAATACAGTAACACTGCAGAAATAGACAGTTGTATTTGTGAATTCTGACTTTTTGAAAAAATTCAATTTACCTACAAAGAGAAAGGAAAAGAAGCGGATAAATTGTAAATCTAAAATTTTTAGATTCTAGAAATTGTTGTGGTGTTTTACAAAAATTGTTTTTTTTTGTTTTTGTTTTTAGTCCAGCTTCTTCTGATGAAGAGAGATTTTGTATAACAGGAAACAAAGTAGACATAAGAAGATTTCTTAATAACTCCTTTTACTACTTCAACTTGGACTGTTACACTGACTGTTACTCAGAATATCACCTTGAACTATCTACTTGATACATTGTCCTTTATTTATACCAGACATGTTCTTTTTTTTTAAAGTCAAGTTTCTTCTTTGAATGCAGTTTTCATTGACAGGAAATAGATGAGACACACAAAGATTTCTTAATGACTCCTCTTACTACTTCAACTCAGACTTTTACTTAGACTGACCAAAATGACTACATGATACAGAGTCTTTTATTTATACATGTTGCACAGGCATAGTTCCATGGTTCATTTCTTTTATCTTGGTATTAGGAGTTATCTGGGATTGCTATTCAGAAATATATAGATATATATATGTAATGGATTAAATTTGACAGATATTTTAATATATTTTCTGTTTACACGCTATTTTTTTGGATATAACTTATTTGAGTAAATGATCTGTTTTTTAATTAAACAGTATTAATTACATTTGAATATTCGAGAAATTTTGCAGAAAGTATGCCTCCTCTGGCAGGAATTGAACCCGTATCCTAAATGGAACTGTCATTTAGTCTGATGGGCTGTTAACTGATTCAGCCATAGATGACTTCTGGTTAAGCAAAGCTCAAATTACTGCATATAAACCAGAAGTCCTCTGTGGTTGAATCGGTTAACGGCACATCAGGCTAAATGATGGTTCCATTTAGGATACGGGTTCAATTCCTGTTGGAAGATGTACATTTTCTACAAAATTTCTTCTATATTCAGGCTGGTAAATCTAATTAATACTGTTTAATTAAAAAATAGAGCATTTGCTCAAATAAGTTGTATCCACAAAAATAACATATAAACAGAAAATATATATATATATATATATATATATATATATATATATCGGCAGCATATCTTCATTCAAGTATGTTTCATTGAATAATAAAGACATATTATGTCTATTTATTTTTATAATACTCCTTTTTCTAGTTCTCTAATTATCTTCTTGTTTTTAAGTTGAAACTCACCAAGAAAGTTGCCATGATTGTGTAGACCAAAAGATCTTTTTTTTAAATTATGCTATTTATTGTCAGTTAAATATATTTTTTTGAGTGTGCAATGCCACCACGCTAGAGTTCTACACATATTTCATCGTAGTGTTTGCCTATGTATGGGAAAATTGCACTCTGAAGATGACAATTTGAAAGTACTTGGCATGACAACTCAAATATAAGGATCTTATTATTTAAGGAATTGATACTAAGTTAATGTCTCATTAAGTCTTCTTAGCAAAGTGATTTTACCATTAATCGCATTAATATTTCTAATTCTTTGTATAAATTGTTTCATTATGATATAAAATATAAGCTGCACACTCTAATTATATATATATATATATATATATATATATATATATATATATATATATTTATTTGGGGTTATTCAAAATGAACAAATTTTGAAAATTTAATAAAAACAAATGCTAACAGACAGAAACACATTCAACACATTACTAAAAAAGAAAAGTTTCAAAGTTATTAAAATAAATTAAATTTTTTTTAATCTTGTTTAAATGCTTCTTTGGTTTGTTGTATTTTTTTAGATTTAGAATGAATTAAAATTGTTAAAATTTGTGTCAATTCTTAAAATGGCCACACTACAAAAAAAGTCATTTTGTGTACTGCAATTTGTGAAGTGTAACCTTAAAATAATAAACTTTGAATCTTTTCCTTTCCAGTAATGTCTTCCATTTGTTTCTACTAAATTTGCAAAATTTGCTTTTTCTTTTTGAATAACTCTGTGTATATATCCAGTAGTTTTTGCACAGCTTGACTTTGACTTATCAGCTTGTAGATAGTTGTTGGGTGGGTGGGGTTTTGAAGATTTGGCCTTGTAAAAATATTCAAGAAAAGGTAAAGCAGTTAAATGCAAATATTAAATTTTCATCATAAAGAAATTGTTGAGGTGATTTTTACAAAAGTAGTTTTATTTTTTTAAGTCTTTCTTCTGACGACAGTAGTTTTATTTTTTAAGTCAAGTCTTTCTTCTGATGACAGTAGTTTTATTTTTTAAGTCAAGTCTTTCTTCTGAAAACAGTTCATATGACAGGAAATAGACTGAACTCAGGAAGATTTTG